GGAGGGGATGCTGTCTCCCAACCTGGTCCCCATACCCTCATTCCTTAAAAGCACGGAGGACCACACTCCAGGAGCAGCACGCCTGGAGGAGGTGGGGATGAGCTGCCCACGAGGACTTTCAGAGACCTCCTGGTGGCTGAATACACACTTTAAAGAGGCTACAGCCCCAAACAGTTTGATATAATAAGCTTGTGATATCATATCATAGGGCTATTTTTTCCCATTTTCTAAAACTGCTTTTATTGTTACAATTTGGTTTGGTACAAAATATAAATTCTAGAGGGAAAAAAAGATAAAATGGTAAGAAGACAAAGGACCATTCTTTTATATTCTGTCCCCTGGTCTTTGTGGCTGTGATCACTGGCATACGCTGAGATAAGAGGCGAGTGCCAGTGGGACTCTGTACCCAGCACAGAATGTCACAAGATGCTGGTCCCCTGGGAGCCCATCAGAGAAGGGACTTTGCAGGTCAGCTCTCTGCAGTGAGGCTGTGTGGTGCTGCCTGGGGGACCCAAATGCACCAGGACCTACATCCCATCTCTCTCACAGAGAGAAAACCACATCTGGTTCTTTCTCTTTCTTGTCTTTTTCTAGGGTGAGCTTTTCATAATCATTAATCATCTTAATAATAATTAAGACACCAATGATAATGTAGTTTATGTTAAGCAAGAATCTGAAACCTGGCAACTTAAAATCAAGCACAGGAGAGGGAAAACTTGGACTTCTGCCCTTACAGTCTAAGATTGAACCCACCAGGAATGACCTAGGAGGATTAAGAAGTTACCACTGTGTCCCCCAGCCATTCCTTACAGTTAATGATTTGCCAGAATCCAGATTTCTGTTTGTCCTCGGTTCAGTACTTCTCTCTGAGAATGTGGCTCCTTCGGGGATTTTGAGTTTCTTTATAGGATGGGCATTGGAGGGAACGAAACAGAGTGAGGTAGGGATGCTGTTTCTGTCTCCTCCTTACTAACCTGTTTGATTTCAGGAGCAGCAGCTGGAAGAGGTTCTAGTAAATATAAAACCCCGTAACAAGGAGCACAAGTAAGGAAATGGAACTAATGGTACATTCTGAACCTTTAAATCTCCAAGCCGAGGGACGGTGGTTTGCATGCTCTGGGTCCCTGCTTTGCCGTGTCTCTGTACAAAGGTCAGCCACGACCCTGACGGTCGGGCTGTACAAGCTGCAGCGTTTACTCTGTGGTGCCTAAGTGAAAATACGATCGGTGGGAGCACACAGGTCCGCCTCCGTGAATGTTTTATTCCTTAAGTTTGCAGGCCCCTTTCTGCCAGACTTTGGGGCTGTCTGCACGACCCTGTCACTTCTGCATGGGGACGGAAGCAGTGGGGACAGATGGGCCGCAGGGTGCTTCTCGTGGTCGGCTGCATCCCTTTCACTGGGTCTCTTCGTATCAAAGGCATCGCAGCCAAAGGAAGACCACTGGACTTCTAGCTGGGCCACATCTGGAAGATAGAGGCAGCTGCATATCTTCCAGGGCGCCCTGTGGTCCCACGTTGCGCCTGTGGCAACCAAGGGAACCAAGGTAGGCCAGGGAATTACAGGGCAGATGGTAACGTCTGATCCACTGCTCCTGGCATTCTCAGGTTTCTCACTGGTCATCCCCAACATGTGAGGATTTTCCTTGGTTTGGAGTATGGGCTCCTGTTCCAGAGCAATGATCACAATACTAATATTGACTAAGAGTTTACCTACAATGAAAAAGAATATGAAAGCGAATACATGTCTGTATATGTATGAGTAAAACATTATGCTGTACACCAGAAAGCGACACAACATTGTAAACTGACTATACTTCAATGAAAAAGAATGCAAAAAAAAAAAAGAGTTTACTATGTGCCTGGCACTACTGCTAGAACTTTATACATAGTCGATACACATATGATCTTTAGAAACAATCCCCTGAGGTAGGTGCTAATGTTATCCCCACTTACAGATGGGAAGACCAAGTCCAGGGTAGATAACTTGTTCTTGGCTCATTAGAGAAGAGCCTGCCTTCCAGCCCAGAGGGTCAGGTTGTAGAATCAGGCTGGGATATTTCATCACCCAGGGAGATGTTCATATACAGAGTGGCCAGACTTGAAGCAATTTCTCTTAAAAATAAATCTCTAGCCTTTGATTTGACAAGTGAAGGTCGGGATCACTTTGTGTAATTCTATACCCATGTTTTGAGAGTGAAGTTGGAAAATCGAGCTTGCTTAGAAGTATGCAGCCAAGACGATGAAGGGTTTGAAAACCTTTTAAGATGAGGGGCATCTGGGATAAATGAGGGATGAATTAAGTGACTAACAAGAAGACACAGGAGGTGGCCATACAAACTGCCTGCAAATACTCAAGGGGCTCTTGTCATCAGGGCGGGGCTCATTTTAGTTCCCTGTGCAGGGCAGGACCGGGGTGAATAAGCAGAAGGCACAGGACAGTCAAGCCCATTTCTGAAGGCTCAGAATCATCTGAGGGTGGAAGAGCGGCTGTGCAAGGGGGAGAGCTCCCCATCACGCGTGTCCTGAGGCTCCAGCATCGGCTGGGAGGGGACAGAATCTCTGTGCCTCCCGGCAGGAGGTTAAATTGGGTGACCGCCAGGATCAAATCCAATTCTGAGACTCACAGTAGGATGATTTCACCTTTTCAGAAAGGAGTTAAGTTGAAATGCAGGAGACACATTTGATGCCTTTAGTATCATTCTCTGTTAGGCACAGGCCCCGGACAGGCCACCTAAAATATGCCTCGATGGCATATTGATTATTTTGATTTAAAGTTACTAAGAAATGGCCAGAGCAAGAGGGCCACTTTGACCCTCTGGCTCCCTGAAAGCAGGAAATAAATCTCTCATATGAAAGGTATATTCTCTGCACCCTTTATTGCCAGGGACAGGGAATTCGGGCAGAGAAGCCTGTATAAACAGACCTTGTTGCTTTAATTTATTACCCCAAGGCCAAATTTTGCTTAAATTCCTTACTAATTAAAAACTCAAACCTAAGTTTCTTTGTCCTGTCAATTTCTCTCAAATTTATAGTTTCTTAGTCTAAAAAAATATAAAAGCTGCCTGCTTTGGCCATGGCTTAGGTATTGTCTATGAAATTTCCATGTGAACAAATTGATTTATTTCTTTTTTTCCTGTTAATCTGTCTTGAGTCACTTTTATTATTAGTCCAGCTACAAGAACTCAGGGAGGGTGGAGGCGGGAGTGTCCCCCCCCCGGACAGCAGCTCGCAGGGGGAAGGCGGGGAAAGCAGGCTGGACCACAACTCCGACAGGAACCTGAGGTCTTGGCTCCTCCACCTACGCGTATGACCCCCCCAGGGGCACTAACTCTGCACACGCTTGACTTCTGTATCTTCCAAACAGAGGAAAATGAGTATCTTCATTTTGGAAATTTCTAAAATGGAGATAACTGGCCCCCAAAGTTCTCTGATAAAACACCAAATCATTTGGAAAATGGAATGAACCAAAGTTATGCTGCCCCCAGCACTCTGGCTAAAGACAAAACTGCTGTGTAAGTTCTAGAATAAGACCACTTCTGCATGTTTTCGGGACATCAAGTTTGCTGATAGTCCTTGTACCTTGCTGTATCTTGCTGTAAAGTGAAGGTCCTGCCAGCAACCTCTTTTCCTTTTCTCTTTTTGCTCCTCGCTCTGTACCAACATAACCAGTTTCATCACCCAGAATTGTCCCCCTGGCTGGGATAGTCCAGTTTCTTCGAGTCTACTGCATTCTAGGCAGTAACAGTGCAGTTTTATTGTAATTAACTTTTCATTCTTCTGTGCAAAACTAATATTTATGAGAAGCTTCTGCAAAAGACTGAGTTCTTATTTGTCCTACCTTCAGAAAACTTTTGCCCTGTTTATGTCTTTTCTTGTAAGTCAATTTTTATTTTAAACATTCTGTCGTATTCTGGAGACAACAATAAATTACTTTATGAGTGTTTGGGGTCTGCTCTGCAAGCCTTTGCCAGAGTATAACAATGCTTAGAACATACTTCCCATGTTTTAGAAGGAATTTCCCCCTAAGTCATGATTGGCATGTCTACCGGTGAGGCATATACATAAAATCTTCATTAAAGACACATCTGCATATCTGTGCATCACTATTTAAAAAAAACTAATTAGTCCACTTGAGACTAAAAAAAATCATTCTAATCAAATGTTGTCCTTAGCTCCTTTTAGCTGAAAAAAGATGGTAGCAGATTCACAAAGGATGTTTCCTTTTATGCACAACTTGGTAACGGGAAACTGACAGAAGAACACACTTAATCATCCTACTACCCAACACCGGAGGCGCCGAGGCTCCCACTGGAGCGCTCGGGGAAAATACACATCACACAGTTCAAGGAGGAGCCCCTGCCCCTCTCCTAACAACCCAGACAAATCTCTGCTTCACAGGCTTAAGCACTACTTCACACCATTTCAATAAAAATAGAGTTTAATTTGGTCTCAGAAACTTGCTTTCTCCCGGGAAAAGGGCTTGGGCTGTGGGATCAGCTGTGCCATACATGCGGCCCCTCAGAAATGGAGGGGGCTTGGCACCACTCAAAGGCAGGATGCAAATCCGCATCGCGGTTAATTAATTTAGCCTTCATATCAATGCTCACAACTACAAAGAGGGCTTACCAGCCAGTTTCCAACCAAAGGATAAAAAATTCAATGAAAAGGCTAAGAGATTTAGCAAACAAACTGTTTGCCATTTGAGAGTAACTTAAGGGCTACCCGAAAAGCCGTCCCTGATTGAAATCCATTATAAGGAACCAAACACTGATCCGGAGGAAGAGAGCTTAGATATGCCACCTACCCAATAATGTCCCAACAGAGCCCAAAGCCCTGAGGCCCTCATGAATATTCTGGGAACTTAACCTGCCAAAAGAAGAAGAGATGGGGAGGACGAGAGGGGTCTTTGCTTCCAAATACTAGCAGCTCTCCTGCGGTTCTGCCTAGCCTCCCGGGATTCGCTTTCCAAGCTCCTTATTGAAATTGCTCAGGTCTTTAACTGGTCTCCCGTGAGGGCTCAAAAGCCTTAAGCTAATTACATTTGGCTGAGATATGCTTGATGAGATGGGAAAAATACAAAGCTTTTGAAATGATGAAAAAAATCTCTAACCATCTGCTGGTGGTGTTGCTAAAAAGAACAACAGGCGGGAAGAAAAAGGGCAGCTAGCCAGAATGGAAAGGTACAGGATTTCTTTAATTACGGGGTCAATGAAGCTATTACTGCTTGGAATGTGGGGGAAGGCAGGCCAAACAGGCTTAGAGGGCTGAGCAAGACAGTGCTTAGCAAATAAATGCAGCCAAACATCAGCACCAAAAAAGGGGAATTAGCCCAGCTTGGTTGAGCAAAGCGTTTCTAATTAGAAATCGCAGGTAGTTAGTGGAAAGGAGAGAAAGGTTGGCTCCTAAATGGTAACGAGGTTTCAGCACAACCTCCGCGCTTCTTTCCAGGTTATCTGTGGTCCTTGAAGGCAGTTTCAGATGCAGCCCTGGCGAAGTGCACGCTCTCTGATGCCATCAGCCAGACAGTTGCTTCTGTTTTACTTGGCAATCCAGGTGAACAGCCTGTGTTGAGCTTTCAAATCAATGCCCCAGGTGTTGGTTCAATATGGCTAGCAGCTTATGTGCAGTGCTCTAAAAGCCCTGTTCAGTTTCTCCTTTTCTTCTCTTCTTAAAAAAAATATAATGAATCCCCTCAAATTCAGCTGAGAAAATGTTTGATTTTGGAAGACAAATGGACTTAAATAGGGGACTGCTAAATCAAGGTTATTTTTACTTTGTGCACAGTAACTCCTACAAGTTGAAGAGCAGTTTGTGCCCCAAATTTGAGTTTTGTTCTTTTTTTTTCTCAGACTGTACGAGGGAATGTCGTTTTCTCTCATTTTACATTGTCTTGATTCTGTGTCTGAAGGTGGGTAAAACTACTAAACTAATGGGGAAATAGTTTTATTTTCTTCATTGTTTCCTTTTCATCAAACCAGGAAAGAATGACCTTTCAGCAGGGAACTCATTTTTCAGATGCACAACTCAAATATATAGTCAGGATCCTCTTGGATGGCCCCAGGTATGCTTCCCAACAAACTGTCTGTTTCGGCATATTCCTAACCTGGACATGCAGTATCTCTTCCATCCTGCCTCTTTAGACCTGCCGCTGTGGGAAGGATGCCCTGCATCAGTGGCCACAAGGAGTGCATATGTGGAAAGAGAGGCTTATGGGCAGCTGATCTCAGACAATCTGGAGTTTTGAGTTGGAAACAGGTCCCCATTCTGACCATAGCTACCCTGATGCCCAGGGCCCCAGCTGCAGATCTGGGAGACCAGGATGATGCTAAAAAGGTCATCTCCTCTCACAGTGCCTGTTGTGTGTCGGCTGGTATGGATAATGAACAAGGGCTTTCTGAGTGGTTCTCGAAATATGATCCCTGGACCAGTAGCATCTACATTCCCTGGGAACTTGTTCAAAATGCAAACTTTTACTGCCCATCACTACAGACCTACTGAATCCAAACTTGAGGTATTGAGCCCAGTGATCTATCCTTTAACAAGACATCCAGGTGATTTGGATCTACTGAGGAGTATGTTCTATGTCTGTCTGTCTTCTGTCTGTCTGTCTGTCTATCATCTTTGCCATGTTTAAACACCCACCATCCAACAAGAATAAAGCAGAGAGAAAGGTATAAGGAATTTTTCAAAAAAATTATCTAAATTTGGAGGCAAAATACTAGAGTAGTGATATCATTCAAAACGTGGTCCACAGACCAGTAGTGTCACCATCACCTGGGAGCTCAACAGACGGGCAGGTCACAGGCCCACCAAGACCTACTGTATCCAGATCTCTGGGGGAAGGGTCCACAGACCTGTGTTTTAACAAACATGCTAATTCTTATGCACACCTGAGTTTGAGAGCCATTGTGCTAGGACAATATATGAGCAAGGTTTGTTGTCAGTTTGGCTTTAAACTATTAGAAACTATTGAGGTCGAGGGGATCTCTAGTCCCATTTTGTGGTATTAGTCAGGGAAAGCCCGGCGGAACATTTGTTGGACATGAATTTTATATCTCCTCCATTTCCAGAAAGTATTGGTTGGATATTTACTTTAATTATCGTTCTTCCCAGATGAGAAAAAAGAAACCCATGCTCTCTCTTCCTTCCATTCCTTTTCCTTCTCTTTCTTCTTCTTCCTTTCTATCTCCTTCCCTCCTTCCCTTCTTTGTTTTCTTACTGCCTTTAATTCCTTTTCTTCTAATCTCCTGGGGATGCATAACTATTCTACCAGCACTTACTGTGGCCACAGTGATAAGATTTACCTGAATTAAATTCCACTTGTGCAACCGACAGATACTGGCATTTAAAAGGGATTGGTCATGATAATAAAAATGCTGCCTAATGCAGCATAGATTCTTGAAGGACAACCTTATGGTAATTCTCAGCTAGAACATGGGAAGATGTTGGAACCTCTCCTTTCACTGGGGATCTGTTACGGTAAGCCTGAATTTTTCAACTTGGTTTGGAGTAACCATGTGCAAGGTTATGGTATTAGCTCCCTGTTCCTGTTGTAACAAATTACTGTAGCCTCTGTCTTACCATAACACCAATTTAGTTCTTACAGTTTTGGAGGCTGCAAGTCTGAAATGGGTCTTATGGGGCTAAAATCAAGGTATTAATAGAGTTACTTTCCTTCTAGAAGAATCCGTTTCCTTACATGTTCCAGTTTTCAGAGGCTGCCTGTATTCCTTGTCTCACATGGCCTCCTCATCCATCCTCAAAGCCAGCAACACAGCATCTTCAAATCTAGGCATTTGCTGGCTCTCTCTCTCTCTCTCACACATTATATCTACATTTATCTTATCACAATCCTATTTAATTATATATAATCACTACATTTAATATAAGTTTTATTTTCTGATCACATAGGTTGTCCATAATATTTTGTTAATAGGAAAAAGTAATGTAATACAGTATAAAATGACTACTTAAGTTTGAAACGTGTTCCTTTCCATTGAAATTACATATCCCTGTCTTAATATATTATGAATCGCACCCCTCTTGATCCTGAATATTATGATTTTGTAAACTATGATAAAAAAATAAGAAAAGTGAAGGACAGGTGAAATACATTTTGTGTATTTTTGAGAAATAAACTAAATATGATAAATGGAAAATAAACATTCTCTTTTCAAATAAGTCTTTAAGAAGAAATATCCAGTTTTTTCCCTTTCATTTCTATATCTTTGTAGTTTTTTTCTATTAGTTTCAATTAAAATCCAAGACTAATAAATTATGACATTTCTGAAAAATGAACAGATGTGCTTCTATGTCAAAAATGTAAGCTCTCACAATGAGATATCTATTGGTTAGAAATATGGCTGACTGATCTCAGCATTTCCTTTGAAGATTCACGATGAAATAAAACGGTCACATACAATCAATCCAAAGCCCTTGCTATTGGTAAAACGCTGCTTTTTCTTTTTCTTTTTTTAAAAATTATTGCAGCAGATGTCATAAAATAAATGTAGTGAAACATTCAAGCAGCAAGCACCCTAATTGTTTCCATCTTGATTATAAAAACACATTGAAAGGTAAATCCTCACAGTGAAATAAATGAAAAAAATAATTAACATTCAAAGTACTCTCTATGCCACCTGTTCTTTACATACTGCGCTGAAATGAAGGCATCTGAAGTATAAAGAGGAATGAAAAGAAACAGTTTCCTTCTAAAACAGAAAGAAAAGTAGCGTTTAAATTCAGAATCCAGATCAGAATGGATGTACCTTGTGTACAATCAATAGGGTCTGGAAATTCCTTCATCTGATGAAATCAAGTGAACTGGTTAAGTCTAAACTCAAGCACCGCAATTATTTTATACAATATAGATGACATAACAGTTCGTGGCTACTTGTTATTTTTTTAAATCTTTTATGTAAACAGACGTTGAACCTCTGTAGTATTTAAAAGCGGGTAATCAACTACTATCTGATTTTAAGGTTATATGCTAAAATTTGGGTTGACATACATTTTGGTCATTACCACAAAATGTGTAAGTGAACATATCCACACATCCATTATTATTGCAAGCCCTAACTATCCACCCTACTCAATTTAGAGGTTCGACCTGCATTTGTCAGTTCTATTACCTACTGGTCCTTCAGTGTTCTTCAAGTGGAAGGGTACTGATCCTAGACGGTCAAAGATAAAGGAAGGAACGGTAAGCAAGGTACATGGTAATTACTGGATAAGTCTAAATCAGTAGTGGTGGTACAAATCAGTGATGAGAATAATAATTAATAATAATAATAGTAATAATGATGATAATGCATCAGGGAAGTTAAGATATCCTTAGAATTAAAATACACCACGATAATGGCATTTGTTGGGATGAGGTAAATAAAATTTAAGCATGCTATGTTTTTCTTTTGTCATGGTCCCAATTAATATTAAAATTTGGTAAGCCTTAGTGATACCTGAGCGTCAGGAAAGGAGGAGAGTCAGGAAGGAAAGCCCCGTGGTCCTGCTGACTGTCTGCAGAGACTTTCCAGGACAGCCTGCAGACCCCTGAGTTGAGGAGACAGAGCTGATTGACCTGGAAGGGTTGGCAAGGCAGAGACCTGTAGATGATCTGATTCTATAAGGGGGTTGCTCCTCTGACTTCCTAGACTAGACTACTTTACACAGCTGCAGGAGTAGAAGTTACCTGGTAGAAAGCTTACAATAATGAAAATGAGACTTGTTCACAGCAGTGCAAATGCATTCTGTTTGGCGGAAAAGAAAGAATATATTTTATTGCCTTATATGATGCTAACCACTCTTTCAAGTTTCAGTATTCCTGAGTTGTGGGTATGTGTGTACACGTATGATGCATTTGGTATTCCTGATTGTAAGTGTAACATGGAGATACACATATACCCAAGGAAATATGTGTATATATTATTTTCTTTTGAACCAGTTTTACTTCTTACTGGTCCCTTCCTTAATTAAGGATTTAAATAAAATCTTTTACATGTATTCAACGTGTATTTGTATGAGAGTCATGACTTTATATTTCTGGAAATGACAACTTGGCATTATTTAGTACCTTGGAGGAGAGGGCAGATACTGTGGCCATCAGCTGTTAACAATTAGACTCACTGTCTTTAGAGGAGGCTAATTTTCTGGAATATTTAGGGATAGCATATGAAAAGTAATATTATGTTTACATACAAATAAAAATTACTCTTTTCATTAGTTGTGATAAGAAGGTACTTCGTGGAGAGTTGCAGAACTCTAGCCGAGAGGAATAAGAAGTTCAAAACCTGGAGATAGAATTCCACTTATGGGAGAGATCTGTTTTATCTTTGCAAATTACTTTGATAAACCACAGGACCATATGCCTCCTGGCAAGACCAGACAACAGAGGCTTGATCCAAAGTGAAACTGTAAATCAAATTGCAGAGTTAAGGAGAGGAGGAAATAGAAAAAGACAAAGGGGACCCAGGAACAATGCTGGATGCTAGAGAATTATTAGAAGAGATGGACTTTGAAAATTGCCCAGACAGGGATAGACTAGCAATTACAAATTTTGGGTCTCCACACATCCTTAAGTTTGTGGTCCTTCCTCCCTAACATGTAAAATGAAGGATCAGGACATTTTTTTTCTAAATTTTAAAAGACACAACGATCACAGCAAGCTGGGGGTTTGGCCACATTCATGAGGCCTGATATATGCTTTGTTACTGAGAGGCTACCTACAAGGTTTGCACGTGATCAATCCAAATTCGCACACATATGCACGTGAAACACATTGTGGGAACCAAAGTTCTTACTGCAGCTGTGAATCTACTTTTCAGTCTTCTATGTTTTTTAACTTTAAAAGTATAGGTCAGTTACACTTTTATCTGAGGAAGAAACATGATGAAAATTAGTACTCTAAAAATAAACTTTAAAAAATATTAAATGTGAATATGCACATTGTATCTTCCTACCTTATACAGTGTAACTTGAATGAACTGATTCTGTATGAATCTATTGCATACACGGAGATGTGCAGAAGACTTAAATAATCTAGCTTAAAACTTTATGATTTTTTCATTCAGTGTATTGAACAGATATAAGGAATTTCATGAAACACTTAAAAATATTCATAAAACCAGAACAGGCACCAGCATTATTAATTCATCTTATATCCCCAAATTAAATTTTGGTTGACAAGTTCTAGCTACAAAGTATTATTAGGAAAAAAGGCCAATCAGAGAAGAAATCATTTGAAAATTAAGTTGCCCTAAAAAACTAACTTCTAGTGCTGCCAGCGTGAAAAATGCAGCTTTACTAAAGTTGACTTCACTGGGGAAGGTAAGACACAAAGACTTTCTGAAAATATAAACTTCCAGTAAATTAATTATTCAAGATGAAAGTTCATATATTTCACATGAATCAAATAATGCCTATAAATCAAGGATACTTCAGTAAAAATGTATATATATGCCATGATTCTTGGTGGCAAAACACACAGACTAGAGTTTGAAAGCCTGAGTGTCATGGGTGTCGTGTGTTTGTGTGTTGCTGCATTGCTGCTGTGGAGGCTGAGTTTTAAGCTGAGGGGAAAGGGCTCTGTCAGAGATGTAAGAATTCCATTAATAACGGAAAACATCAAGGGCTGTGTAGTGGCGCTTTGTAGAGAAAATAAATCCCTAATGGCTTTGATTGGTAGGAGCAGCGGAGAAAGCAGTTCACTGTGCGTTCACTGAAGGATGAAACAGTGGCCAGAGAAGAGAGGAAGTTTCTCATAAGGACTAAGAAAGATGGTGGTGGAAATCCAGCCGGGTTCTGAGCAGAGTTTGTGTGTAAACCTACTTTGAGTGTAAGGCACTTTTACCCCATTTAAACTATCTTCAGGGAATAATTAGGTGTCCAATTACTGGTTAAGCCCTGAAATAGAATATGATTAATTTGTCTGATCTCTTTGTCTGGTCTAGATCACCTCGGCATTTTTATCAACAGAATACAATGAATAAAACTGAGTAAAATCTAGGATTGCAGCTTTCTCAGTACATTGGTGACCACTGGCTCCCATGTCATCACTCCTTGTTTCATCAAGAATGTGGTTTTTCAGAGCTGGCCTTCTCAGAAAATTTATAAAATTGGAGAACCTCATCGCTGCATCATTGGGTTCATATCTCTCACTTACAACCGCAGAAACTGGGATTCACAGAAAGTCAGGAACCGCATGGCCAGAGTCAGAGGCCATAGCTCTCTGCACACTTAGTCACGTGATCCTGCTCATCAGAGGCCAAACCGTGAGCCAAAGGACATGATGATCAGCACTCGCTGCTGGTTAACACTTCACTGTCTACTTGCATGCCTGTCAATATCTATCTTTTTCCAAGAACTCAGAACACAATATACCTTAAATCTCCATCAACATTTTGATCAACTGGAGGTAAAAGATACGGGAATGTTCTTCCATATTACACTTGTTGATAGATACAAGAAAAAGAGTTGGGATGCACACATTCTAGGTAAAGCTTGGAAAGTCCAATGTATTCCTAATAAAACATAATTTAAATTTATGTGACATAATAATGGTACTATGCTGATATAGTTAAGATTTTAGATCAAATATTTTAAAATTCAACTAGAAATAAAAATCTTCAGGAAACGATAAATTGGGAGTGAGATTTGTAGATACTAAGTGCTATGCATGAAACAGATACACAACAAGGTCCTACTGCACAGCACAGGGAACTGTATTCAATACCTTGTAGTGACCTATAATGGAAAAGAATAGGAAAACAAATATACATATATGAAACATTATGCTGTACATCAGAAACTGACAAGACATTGTAGGCAGACTAAACTTCAATAAAAATGAACGAAATAAAAAGGAAAAAAAGTTAAAATGACAAAGATGAACTTACTTACAAAACAGAAAGAGACTCACAGACATAGAAAACAAACCCATGGTTACCAGGAGGGGAAAGGGGATGGGAAGGGATAAAATGAGAGTTTGAGATTTGCAGATACTAAATACTATATATAAAATAGATGAACAACAATTTTCTTCTGTACGGCACAGGGAACTATATTCAATACCTTGTAGTGGCCTATAATGAAAAGCAATATGAAAACAAATACATGTATGTATATGTATGACTGAAACACTATGCTGTACCCCAGAAATTGACACAACATTGTAAACTGACTATACTTCAATTTTTAAAAAAAGAATTAAAAATCTTCAGAAAAAAAACACATTAATTTTATGCTAAAACACGAGATCCTTTTCAGAGGAGCTCTCCTATAAGATTACTTTCCTATTTGGTTATTAACATAAATGATACAATTTTACTGGATATCATATGTGCTGTAGGCCCTGCTGGGAAAGCATAAAACTGGAGTCATTTAGGAAGAGGCAGTGTGGCTATGTGAGAAAATCTGCCATATGTGATACCTCACTTTGTTCCTGTTGAAATTTTTGTATTTCAGGTCTCCTAGGGACATGTCCATTGTGCTATTGTGTAATTTTATCAGCATGATCTTCTGCTGAATATTTTCTCTTCTTTTCAAAACCCATATTTTGGTAGCGCTAACTTCAAAACTTAATGTTGCAACATCTGTGCCCATACACCTGGGAGCCATCGAAGATGTAGCTTGAAGAGTATCTACATTTTTCAGTCTTACAGGATGTTGTGAAATAAAGAAAAGGGTTATCCATTTTTCCTGGAATTTTTTGAAGGTGACCACTGCCTGTCTCCTTAGAAAGATTCTCAAAATAAAAGAGAACCAATATTTCTAAGTCTGTAAGAATATCCATACAATTGGAACAGAATACTCATTTGATTTTGTTTGCAGATGCGTAGTTCTTAATGTACATATTCAGCTTTCCATTAAGAGACACTGTGCATATCCACAAAACCTGGAGCTATAGTCTCAAAATGTCCTCAAACAACTCTTTACTAACTATATGACACAAAAGAAAGCAAAGGAACATCCTACTACTTTGAATGTATTTACTACTTCTAGTCTGCGGATGTACCAATAAATCTTAAAAAATAGAAATTATGGTTGAATTGGCATTTCTCAAACAGAAGATTAAGATCTTGACCAAAAAAAAAATACTTTCTGAACACACAGAGATGTCTCCCACCTCACCTTTCATTAACTGTTCTATCTTTATGGAATAAAATGTACTTACTGAAATTGCCTGCAGGAGATGGTACTGAAATTGGAATGGGCAGAACAATTTGTTGTTGAAGGGTAATATAGATGATGTAAAATTTTTATGGATTCAAAGTTGTGAGGAATGGGTTTGAGGAACTCCACATGTGGATTCTTTTGACTTTGTCATCAGTTTATTAAATTGTGATAAATACCAAACGCGGTGTGCTTTCTGCATGTTAGGTATCGTTGGAATTGCTTTCCATGCTTTACTCATTGAATTTTCACCACAACCATTTTTGACGGGTCCTTTTGTCATCACCATCTTACGGATGAGGAAACTGAGGCACTGAAAGATTAAATAACGTGCCCCAGATCACCCTGTCTGTCACTGGGGAGCAGGGCTACTGCAGAGCACCCCAAATCTGTGCTGCTCCCTTTTCCTTTGGTTACTTTTCTTATATGTAACAGAATGGCTTTAAACTCTTACTTGGAAGCAAAGAATAAGAAGATAAAGGTGACTGATTTTAAGTTATTTCAAACTGAGACAGAAACATTCAAGGCAGAGTCAAGTTAATCATCTATGGTAAAGAAGGGAAAACTCTGTTAATTCAAGCCACAGGCATGATTATTCTCTTACAGTGAAAAGTCAAATTTTAACAAAGAAATCTAACTTCAAAGTTGCTGTTAGCAAGTAGCAGAATTTGATCTCACTTCTTTCTCACCTGCCATCCCACCACTTGCAGAAGAGGACTGCCATCTCTACAAGGGAGAATTAACCCTTCAGTAATTAGAGGGGTGCTGTGTGCTGGAGAAGCCAGTGATGTCAGTGTGTGCTGAACATGAGCCTTCTCCCTGGTGGGTCTAGTTAAAATGCGGACACTGTACCCATTGTTTGATGCTTCTCTTTTGCACATCTTGAGGCACAATATACAAAGTAAATAATTTCTGCTATAGTGAAATTCAGCAGGCAGATGCAGCATGGTGTAGTTTACATTTCACAAGTACTACTGGAGGGAGCAAGGCCGTGTAGCTGTATTTGAAGTAAGGGTTGTATCAATTTTCTACTATCATCCTCAGACATAAAGTTCTCCAAGTATACCATTTACTTGACTTGTCAGGAACATGGTGTCATGAGTCTGAACTAGGGTTTGCAATTAGAGAAAAGGTCATGAGAGGCATAGACTTAGAAAAACATTGTGCTTTTAATGCAGTGGAAATTAAAAAAAAAAGATGTCAAAATCACTAACATGACTTAGTAATTAAACTGTGTCATGCTGCTGCCAAAAAGAGTTCATAACTTGGAAGCTATACTTACCATTGACCTGTTTTTACAATTGAGATCATGTCTGCTTTTCCATTTGGAAACAAAATTGATCACTGTGTTCTATAAACAAGGCTTGTCAAGTTATTACCCTGTAACTACTTTCCAAAAATACATTTATTTAAGAACAGTATGATTTATGACATGGTGTAACAGACATTATTTACTTTTTCATTTCACATTTTAGCTTCCTTTAAGAGATTGCTTTATATTGGAAAATGAAATTCTTTAAGCTCTTTCATAAATAATAAATTTCTTTGATCATTTTTTAAAGATTTTTAAAAATGTTTATCTTTATTCCAATATATTGACTTCTTGCTCCAATTGCTGTTTTAAAATTTACTGAATGTTCATTCCTCCTATGTCCTCTGAAATCATTATAATACTCACTTTTGTTAACAGCATTCGATATTATTGTATCCTCATATTAGTGGACAAAGTCTATAATACAGAAGGTTCATAAATGTGCAAATTTCACATAAATTGCTTCCTTACTCACTACTGTAGGAAGGATGACAGAATAAAATCAATGCAAAATGGTTAATCTATTTGTCTGAAATCTATTTTCAGATTATCTAAGACTTTTATCCATCTAGTCCATAATTTCTATTTCTTAGAGGATTTCTCAAAACTATAATTTTAAAAAATTGAATCTAAATGAATAATAAAAACATCCTCATAACTCTTTGGAAGTATGAAAAACTGTTATAAGTATCTTCTTTGCTACTTCTAGATTCTAGTCTACTTTCAAAAGACGATTTAGGATTAAAGAAATACTCATTTCCCCTCTTTACAGACCACAATGGCATGTGCATAACTCTGATGGTGGAATTCTAGGCAGGAATCCAAAGACACTCTCACTCTTGATGGATTAATTTAAGAGCAGTCCTACCTTTTTCACCTTCTTTTTCTTCTTGGTCATCTGTTAGTGGAATCACTTGTGGTTGCTCCACAATTGTGGTGTCTTCTTGGTTTGATGAAAGCTCTAAATAGAATGAGACAGAAGGATACTCAGGCATGTATAGTGGAATTATTGAGAAAACTTAGTGACTAAAGTATAGACAGTTAAAGGGTTTTTTTTCCCCTCTGAGTTTCAACAGGCACTCAAAGCAGAACATTATTACCACTCACTAGAAATCACTGCCTAAGGCACACACACACACACACACACATACACACACACACACCGCTCACACACACTCACGTGCACCACTCACACACATCAGTGTATAGAGAAGTCATGGTTCACAGTTTCACCTCATTCTCGAATAACAATGTATTTTGGTTTTAATACCTTCTGTTTCCATATGTGAGCTCTGGGACTCTGCTTCAATTTTTATTTCACTCTTCGTTGAATCGTTCTCTTGTCCTGTTAAGAACAGTGATTGAAAAATAATAGAGGTGTGATATGCATGACCATATCTTTATCCCTGGTTTGAAAAGGCAAGAATTTCAGAAACTATGCTTTGATCATGCCTGGAATTGTAAAGAACAGTTTTGAACCAAAGTGGAAGGTGACAGTATCATTTTGCAAATAATCATATTTATATCAATTATTTTATGAGAACTATCCAGACAATGAAGGGTAAAACCCTTTTCTTTGAACTGATTGCTATAATCAGTATTTAGCTTACAATACATTGAACATCAATGGATATAATCTGGAAGTTTTAAAATTGTAAATAATTTCTGGGCTGCACGTGTTAATTACATGAAATTTTCCTTTAATATATAGATATTTCCCATATTGAGGATTCCTGTAAAATTAAAACACTCCTTGTATTTTCACTTTTCCATCAACAGAGCTTAAAAAAATAACTTGAGTAATGTGAGCACACCGAGTTTGGCTCACCTGGCAACCGTTCTTGTAAAACACCTACTAAATACAGCAAAGGTCCAGAGAGAATTCAGACAACTCCTGATTACTCTGAGGTTGATTATCTAGCAATGGTTTTCCTTCCACACACACTCTCCCTGTCCCCACCCCTGATCCCTGGCCTCTACCCCTCCCCTCCCCTCCCCTCCCCTGTGGAGTTTAGAACATTTAAATGCTCGCTAAGAGAGGAAATTGAAACCTGCCCATTTTGCATCATTTTAATGAAAGATTTTATGCTAAGGATGTTTAACTATTAAATTAAACAAAACAAAACAAAAAGCAAGTCCAGAGCTAGAGCTGGTTATAGGCACAAAGGGAAGCCAGAAGCGCCTGGGTTCTTTGCCTGGGTCCTTCCCTGTGGGAGATACACTATTTTTCCTACTTGTCTGTACTTCTGGCTGTGACCATGTGACATGCAGTGGCTCCTGGGGGGCAAGTGTATGTTCTGAGCCCACTGACACCAGGCCCGTTCATGTGACTTGGTTAGAAAATGCCACAGCAACAGACATGAAGTGTGTTATGTCTGAGAAGAAGCTTCAGATTCCCTGGGTGTTTCCTCCAGCCTCTTGCTCCTAAAAGAGTGTGTTCCTTCAGCCTAGATCCTGGAAAGAAAACATGTGGAGCAGAACTAAGCAGAGACATGACAAACCTTTATTACTTTAAGTCAGTGGGACATTTAGAGCTATTTGTTACTGCAGCAAAGCTGACTTATACAATCTCTCATCTCTACAGAGTCCTCTATAATCCAACTATTCTTTTTTGTTTGTTTGTTCTCTTTTTTTTTCTTTTTTTGGAGGGGGAGGTAATTAGGTTTGTTTATTTATTTATTTATTTATTATTTATTAATTATTTTTAATGGAGGTACTGGGGATTAAACTCAGGACATCATGTATGCTAAGCACACGCTCTAACACTGAGCTATGCCCTCCTCCCAATTCAACTATTCCTAAGCCACACACTGTACTATTTTCCCTTGGTTCATCCTCTGCTAGAGTGACCAAGCCAAAAAAGAAAGGTATTTTTTCTTATTGACATCTATTCCCCTTGAACTTAATTTTAATCAAAAGGATCTGATAAAATAAATGTAATTAAGGCATATTTATATATATGATCATTGAAGCTAAAAATCTCAAGCTATGTTTAATGCCTTTCTCTCATCACTCCTAAAATTCAGTGAAATGCCAAGATTTGATGATTCTGAGAAAGGCTTCTCTTTTTCCACTGTCCAGTGCCCTTCCCCTTTCCTCATTCAGGGATGTATTCTCTCTCTCTCAGTTTAATCATTTTCTTCTTCTGTAATCTACCTTGTGAGTTACTAATAGTAATATCTTTTAAAATATGTATTTGATCAAGACCTTTTCCCTGCTGATAACCTCACTCATCCCCATTTCTCCTCACTGCTACTCAAAGTATGGACCATGGACAAGCAACATTGGAATGGCCCAAAAGCTTTTCAAAAATACAAGATTTCAGGCCTCATCTAGACCTACAGAATCAGCGTCTACATTCTAACAAAATCTCTAGGTGATCGCTATGTACATTAAAGCCTGGGAACCACTAGCCCCAGGGACAAAGTATATTTGCAAATTATCGATTCCATAAAAAAAGCTAGTCTATGCCTAGACACTTCATATACATTTTCTCTAATCATCTTACTATCCTTGCAAAGTCGCTCTTATGATATCCATTTTTATTTTAAAAATCATAACTAGGTTTATCTGACTACAAATACCTTTGTCCTTTTTGTTTTGCCTGGAAATGTCTTTATTTTGCTTTTTAATTTTTTAAATTGAAGTATACCTTGCATACAATAAAACTCTCATGTCGCAAATATACAGCTTGATGACTTTTGAAATATATACACATGTATTTCTTTGCATGATCACCGTCCAGATCAAGAACATTTCTAGCACCAGTGGCTCTCTCTGTTGGTCCTTGTGGATACCCCACCAATAGTTAAAAGGTAGAAGTTTAGTATGTTTTTGAAATTCATATAAACAGAATATACGGTATATAATTTTTTGTATCTTACTTTTTAATACTTGTTTTCTGTAAGATTAATCCTAGTTGCTGTGTGTATCAATTGTCCATTCTTTTCCTCTGATGCATACTATTCCACTGTATGAATTTGGGGCTATTATGAATAACATTGCTAAAAACATTCTTGTACACGTCTTGCGGTGAACATATATACTCATATCACTTGGGTGTAAACTCAGGAGTAAAATTAAGTAACAGGCAACACAGACATTTGGCTTTACTAGATCCTAAAAAACAGTGTCCTAAAGAGTTTGTTCCCTTTTGTAATCTTACCAAAAATGTCTGAGAATTCCATTTGTGCCCTTTATTCTTTATTTTTAAAACTTTTTTGGAAGGGAGGTAATTAGGTTATTTATTTATGTATTTATTTTAATGGAGATTCCAGGGATTAAACTCAGGACCCCGTGTGTGCTAAGCATATGCTCTACCACTGAGCTATACCTCCCCCTGTGCCCTTTTATTCTGGAGACTGTGTCATGATACTACTGGTCACAAAAGTCATTTAATATGAAAGAGAAAACCATGCAACATCTTTCCCCCAAAACGCATTTCCACTCTTTTCACCTCCGGGTACCATACAGAGTGATCACATCTCTGCATATTGAGTCCCTTTGCCCATTTATCTATCTATTATTCTCCTCACCCCACTGTAATAGGGCTATACCTGTGTGTGCTTCCCTTAGGTTACAGGAACTGTGAAGACAGAAACTCTGTTTTGTTCATATTTCCCTTCCTGGAACTTCTTAATAAGGAGTGATCAATAAATGTCTGTTTCATTGGGCCTCTATTCAGTACCATTACAGGACTCATCAGCGTCTGTAAACAGTAGTGAGGCTCTTATCTCTTACTTCCTATTGTACCTCTAGCCACAAAGCGCTAAGGCTACTTGCGCTTCATATACCATATTTATTGCAAAGAATTTTGGAAGGAGAACTGACTGTTTTAGACAAATCACAACCTCTTTGAGCTTCAATTTCATTTTCTTTAGGAAAAGAGGCCAAAAAGAAACTAGAAACCACCTCAGGTTCCCTCTGTCCTTGGCGTTCTATGAGGATATGTCTCCCGGTAATGCTTCTGATCGCTGTTGACATTTGTTTACGGGGAGGATGATGTTGAGGGCACCGTCACTGTTTTTGAGTAAACCTCATTCTCTTTCACTGTTGATACAGGGAACTGACCATCACACCTCCTCCCAGTCATCGCTGGGACCTTAACTCATTATTTGCGGCCTGGCTTTGTCTGTACAAGGACGGGAAAGAACAGAGCATTGGGAGGGTAAAAGCAGCCACTATTCCAGTGTGTCTCCAGCCCAGGGCTCCACTGGGTGTGTTCTCAGAGAACGTCCATGAAGAACAGGAAGATCACAATCCCACGGGCACCGCTGAGATGGGACCGTGGAGGTGGCAGCCTAGAGTGTGATGAATACTAAGGATTTCCTCTGCTAGTAAAGTCTGGCACCTCACTTGGAGGATAAGAGGCCACTGCGAAGCTTTTTGGGAATATTTCTCCTGGCGGCCTTTTTCACTTGCCTCACTTCTGATCTCTCTTCGCCTGTGCGTTTTATATATACTGGCAATCTTTTCTTGAAACAAAAATATTTACGTTTTCTTCTTTCTAATGTTTCTGAAATTAAGTTAGTGAAAAATGGGGAAAGCTATGAGGTGCTTAGCCTTGAAATCCATGAACATCATACTTAGCCATGCCTGAGCCAAGCCAGGATGCTGGCAGGTTATGCAGAGGGGGTGTGTGTGAGCTCCCTGCCCGGCACCCAGGCCTGCTGTGCGTTCACAATGACTCAGGGGCTCCAGCCACTCAGACATTCCACATTCCATCTTGCTTTCTTGACCTCATGGGGGCATGCTTTATGTTTGCTTCTCCTCATTCAGCCGGGTGAATTCCACCCACTGTCCTTTGCCCTAATCCCTCCTGGCAGAAGAAACAAAAGAACATAAAGGGCCCCACCATTTATATATATATATATATATTTTATACAGTGAACTCAATCACCCATACTAATTGGAGGGGACCATTAGAACTGATAATCCCAAAACCCATTCACTTTTCTTTAGAAATAGGTCACGTGATTGTTTCCTGGTGCCCTGGTAATTAAGTTTGGCTCAAGCTAATGCCTTAATTAATTTGCGTAAAAATTGGTCTGGGGATGTCAGTCTGGAATTCAACATTTCTCGAGGAGGATAAACCTAAACTCACTTTGTAAATGGACTGTTTTTGAATAATCACAACAACAATACAGTTTTATTGTTTGTAGAGTGTTAGGTGGTCAGATCTTCCTCAGAACAGACATTGTTCCTTTGATGCTTCTCTTAAAGATGGCGGAAACTGTGTCCTTTTGTTAAACTTGAAACTTGATTGCTGCTGTTCTTCAAAATTTTGCTTCTACTATGGCTAAAAATACCCCAGATTAAGAGTAAATTTAAATTTAGGTTAGTGTG